AGCTCCTGCAGCCGCCCACTACCACTGCTGCTGCAGCAGCAGAAATGCCCCGGGCCTGGCCATTGTGCCATCCGGGCTGCCACCGCTGCCACCGGGGAACTGAGTAGCTCGTCTGCTCTCGCTTCCCCTTTTCCAGGCTCCCATTCCCATTTTTTGATGTTGCATTTCTTCAATTTTTCCTTTTCTAAAATTTCTTCCTCATCCTCAGAGCTGTAACTATTCTCCACCTCATACAAGGATTCCTTACCTGCATCATCCTAGAAAGGAACTCACAATTCCCATGGCGCGATCAAAGGTCACACTCTCTAGCGCTGCTTTCAGTTTGATCCTGTGCCGCTTCTCCAATACGTTCCACTCTCTGAACCAGTCTAGCCAGCTCCTTCCAGGAACGTCCCATCAGGTTCTCCTCTCTTTCCAGATCTCAGTGGGACCTCCACTTGACAGCGCCGGTGCTGCCCGCGGTACCGAGCTCAGGCATAGGCCTGGGGGATTAAAGGAATACTCAGACTAGGGTCACCCGTTGTGAGAGAATGCCAAGGCCTTTATTGAGCCGGTTCAATATATACACACCAAGCCAGGGAAGGAAAAATACAAACTCAGGAAAAAACAGGAACTCAACTGGGGGGCCAATAGGATGTCAAGTATAAATTCCCCTCCTGGGGCACCATGCCTTAGTCAGGATGTTTTGATCCTAGAGGAACCACAGAATATTACTTAGTAGACAGTAGCATACGGAAAGGCTCAGCCAGGGCATAGGAGCCCTTCAGGGTCCTACAATGTCCCTCAACAGAAAAATGGATAAAGAATGCACACACACACACACACACACACACACACACAAATAACAACATGAAATTTATAAGCAAACAGTAGAATAAATACTCTCAAGTGAGGAATCCTGGACTCAGAAATATGAATATGGAATATATTCTTTTATGTGTAGATATTAGCTGTAAAGTCAATGATAAGCAAACTACAATCCTTTGGGGTTCAGGACTCTCCACACCAACCACACAGACACTGATCTCAGTTAAGTAAGAATAGTTTAGGCTGCTGGAGAGATGGCTCAGTGGTTAAGAGCCCTGACTGCTTTTCCAGTGGTCCTGAGTTCAGTTCCCAGCAACCACATGGCAGCTCACAACCATCTGGCATGGGATCCAATGCCCTCTTTCAGCATGTCTAAGAGAGTGACAGTGTACTCATATACATAAAACAAACAAACAAACAAACAAATAAATCTTAAAAAAAAAACAGCCAAGGCAGTGGTGGTGCACACCTTTAATCTCAGCACTTTGGAGGCAGAGGCAGGCAGATTTCTGAGCTAGAGGCCAATCTGATCTACAGAGTGAGTTCCTTGACAGCCAGGGCTACACAGAGAAACCCTGTCTCGAAAAACCAAGAGAGAGAGAGAGAGAGAGAGAGAGAGAGAGAGAGAGAGAGAGAGAGAGAGAGAGAGAATTGTTTATAGAATTTAATGACCTTAATAGTGGTCAGACCAGGGACATAGTTCAGAACCGAGTCTGAATCAATGAAATCGAACAGTTATCAGGGCAGACTTTCTATAGAAAAAAAAAAAAAAACATGTTCAAAAGTCTAAAAGGCAAGAAGAAGAACAATATTACATTTTGCCTTACTACACAAAGTGTTATAGGGTAACCTTTAAGCTGATTGGTTCTCAGTAAGAAAGGGAGATTGGATAAGTGGTGAACAGAGGAATTTCAGAGCACGAAGACAACAGAGCATTATTGATTCAACCATAACTCTTTGGCTTATCAATAACATTCTTCAGTGGCAGCTGTTGATAATTACTTCTGGAAAGTGGAGGCTGAGAACATTGACTTTATTCCACCTTATGAGCAAAGCAGAGACTGAATACAAAATGGCTATAGTTATGTTAAAAGGAACAGGCCTGAACATAATCCATAGAATCATAGAGGGTGGGTATAGAGTACAGGACTAGAGAGCAGGGGGACAGATAAATCTCTGTTACCACAGCTGCAAAATTTTTTGACAAGGGGAACTGAATGACTATATTTTGAAACCAGGGAGAAATGTGTATTTGATGCTAGGGTCCGCATTTACTAGGCCAGCAAATTTTCTATGTAGTAGCATTACATAGAATTATAATTTACTAAATCCCCACTCAGCCTAAGTTGGGCATGTGGAACTGAGTATTGTTCAGAAGGTACAATTCTTAATATCATTTTGTAAATTCAGAAAATGACAAAATGAAAGATTTAACATTTCATCTGAGAAATGACAACAGCCTTCTCATGATTTTCTTTGTTGTGTGTCAAGCACAACATTCATTAAATAATATTCACTGAAATACATGAACTCTTTGTGACCTCTGCCATATAGACACTATTCACACTATGCATAAACTTTTTCTTCTTGGTCAATTTCCAGCATGTTAGCTTCAAGCCCATGTCTGCTTCTACACTCAATTCCTTTGTCCTCCTTTGTAAAGCCCAGCCCATCCTTTCCCCATATTCTGTGCACTTCTGGACTTCTGTACACTTCAATGAGCTCCTCTCTGATCTGTTTATGGCCAAATTTCTTGTCTCAGGGCTGGGATCAGGTACCTACATTGCAATGGTCAACCTTGTTTGCACATTTGTGTTGCATTCCACACAGGAACATCCCTGTCCCATAAATCTTCTGTTCTATCACATTATCCATCTTTCTGTCAGAGGGTACTGAGTCTCCACTCATGATGAGGGGGTCATTCTGCTGCACTGAAGCAAAAGTGCCAATGTTAATGAATAGAAAGTTAAGTTGTAATTCAATAAAAAAGAGGACAAAGTAGGTATAAATAAAAATATATATTAACAGGACTATATGCAAAAATAGATGAGATGTGGGGCTTGGAGTGAGGTAGAAGATTTGGTCATCTGGGTAACCCAAGCTATGGGTCCTAAAGGGCTGCAAACGCAAGATCCTCCCACCTCAGCTTTGTACATGTTTGGATTACTAGAATACATCATCATGCCTGGCAGAAGTGAAGTTCTTGATGCTACACACAAGGCAAGTCAAGAGCACCAAGAGCAATAAGAGAAGCTCATGGAAGCAGTAAAATAATATCAAAAATATTTGCCTCCCACCAACAGTAACCAGCCTTAAAGTAATAACTTCGAGATTTAGGAATATTCAAAAATGTATGGCCCTTGGCATGAATAGTATACATTACATAATATAGAAATATTTTTTATTCTGGGCATAAATGAGAAATATCACATAACATTCCACATTATAACAGGTCATTGTTCTAATTTTTGAATACAAAATCAACAAAAAAATGAACATACCTCAAAAAGGAAAGTAAAATGTGAGGGATAACTTGCAAATTTCATGTGATATATATTTGGTTTGCCCTGTTTATCTTGTCTTTGAACTGTAACTGGTTCAGTATTGTGAATGTGTACAATAAAACAAAAGGATCCATCTCTACATGGCAGAGACCTGGAAACAGAAAGAGTGAGTCTAAGCTGAGGAGGAGGAAAATGTCCATTTTTCCTTTGTCCTCACTCTTTCCTTGCTTCTTTCTTTCTCATTTTTTCTGCTTTCCTACCTTTCTGATTTTCTCTTTCTCTTCTTCCTTCCTCCTTCCCTCTCCCTCATTTCATCCTACTCTCCCCATTTCAGTTGTTCTTACTGTCCCTTCTTTTTTTAAGGCTTATTATAATTTTTACTTTCTTATTTAATTAAAATACTACTATGTCACTTCCCATCTTAAAATATAGCTAGGAAATTCAACCTTCTGCCTAGTTAAACCTAGAAAGGGGGCAGCAGTCTTAGAAAATGAAAAAATACTTCTCTGTCTATATTTGCATACATGTCTAACTATTCATCTATCTGTCTATCTTACAATTTCTCTGGGGAAGAATCTGCAGCTTTGTTAATTAGCTTTTTAACACCATGACAAAATACAAGATATTTGTCTTTTAATAATCTTGGATGCATTGAATAACTACACAAAAGATGTATCTGTGCACATCTCCATTACATGCTTTTTTTCTTCGTTTTGGAACTCATGGACACTCTGCAAAATTATTTCTGTTAAATAAAAAGAAAACTTTCCCTCACTGGCTTTACTTAAAGGCAATGAGCTGACAGGGTGGCTCTGTGGGCAAAGTGTTTGTCACATAGATGTGAGGACCTGGCTCACTCCCAGGTAGCCATATAAAGCTAGACATAGCAGCAACATAGGCTGTATTTGGAGTGATGCTATGGTAAGATGAGAGATGGATGGAAACAAGAGAATCCCCACGAGATCCTGGCCCAGGAAGCATTTCATGAGTATTGGTGAAGAACAACAGATCTTGTCTCAGATCTACACTCAAACTTGTCTGCTGATCTCTACCCACATACCATGGCAAGAGAGGTTGCCTTCAAACATGAACATGAACAAATATACAAACATACAATGACACATCACACACACACACATCTAATACATGGATCTAAAAAACTAATGTAGTATGCCAAGAATTAAGTTACTTTTCTTCATTGAATCATTTTTCTCTATTCCCTCTCAGATAATGCTTTCATTGGGTGTGTACAATTTTGAGGGATCAAGTTGTTCTTGAAATAACTTACATTCTTTAAATAGTGCATCCACAATGCACTCCCCCAACTCACAACTCAAAAAGACTAGAGGGTAAATATTTAATAGAATACAGTGCAAGGAAAAGCAGGGTGGTGGTGTTGAGAACTTTTAATCCTAGCACTTGGAAGGCAGATAGAGGAGGATCTGGTCTACAGAATGAGCTTCAGGACAATCAAAAATAGAGAAATCATGACTCCAAAAAACATGTATTTTGAAGCGTCCTTTAAGACACATGTGTTGCTCTAGTAAATTTTCTGCTGGCACCAGCTCACTGTGGGTGAAACAGGAGCAGGTGCCCTTGGAGCAGCAGGACACACTATCCTGACCAGATTTGCATATTGAATCATTATATAACAGCCCAGGCTCCTTTAAGGTCAGCTGTCAGGAGCCTAAGAAGCACCCTCTCTTCAAGCTCTCAGAGATGGAGACCAGCTCATTGTTCCTATGGGTGCTGCTGCTCTGGGTTCCAGGTGAGGATGCAGAGAATTGTTGGGAGCAACCTCTTTGTCCATCATGACTTTCCATGCCTCTGGGCTCTCTTGATCATTATAATTAGGGCATTTGTAAGTGGTTTTAAGTTTCCCCATTCCCTTGATTTCCTGATTTCTCACAGTGATGTTCATAGTATTCTTGAAATTTTTAAATGAAAATGTTCTCTGCTGGAAAGGTTTTTATACATATATAACAATAATTTGTGTGTTTATCATTCCAGGCTCCACTGGTGACATTGTGCTGACCCAGTCTCCAGCATCTTTGGCTGTGTCTCTAGGGCAGAGTGCCACTATCTCCTGCAGGGCCAGCGAAAGTGTCAGTATATCTAGCTATAATTATATGCACTGGTACCAACAGAAACCAGGACAGCCACCCAAACTCCTCATCTATGGTGCATCCAACCTAGCATCTGGGGTCCCTGCCAGGTTCAGTGGCAGTGGATCTGGAACAGACTTCACCCTTGCCATTCATCCTGTGGAGGCTGATGATGATGCAGACTATTACTGTCAGCAAAGTAAGAAGCTTTCTCCCACAGTGCTCCAGGGCTGAACAATAACCTTCTGGGGTTGCAGCTCACTGAGGCTCAGTCTCTCAGTTGTCTCTTACTCTCTGACATCTCAACACAGAGCTCTAGGCATGTTTGGTAAAATATCTCAAATAGTGAAACAAATTCTTTAAACAGATATGTATGTGTGTCCCATCATCCTTCATGCTTTGTAACTTATTTCCCAACAAAGTATATAATTGTTTTAATTATTATTTATCATCTAAATTTTTATTAACACATATTTATCTTTGGATGACTTTCCCTTCTCCCTTAACTCCCTGACCACATTCTGTCTATTCCCTCACCTGCAGCATCTTCCTTTAACTTTCCAGTCACTGAGGATTTATTGTCTCTCATTTTTGATTCTGAAAATAGAAAGGATAATAAGTACAAATTATGTCACTGAAAAATAGTGTAAACCAAAGAAATTTATTGGTGTGTGTGTATGTGTGTGTGTGTGTGGTGTGTGTGTGTGTGTGTCTGTGTCTGTGTCTGTATAATGTCTGTGTGTATGTGAGTGTCAAAGGACAACCTGCAGAAGTTAGTTCTTTCTTTCCACCACGCTCAGGTTGGGATTCAAATTGAGGTCACTAATTTTCTGTGAGCATGCTTCCTGGAAGAGAGTAGGCAACTATGCCAACCTGGGATACTATTTCTTACCCTTGAGTCATTTATTTTCATTTTAAGTTGTGTACCTGGGGGGAAGGGTACAAGTGTGAGTGGTCATAGCAGTCAGAAGATGGCAGTAGACCCAAGGGAACTGAAGATAGAGATTTCAAGCTAGTTGATGTGGGTGCTGGAAACCAAACTGGGGTGCTCTGCAAGATTAAGAAGAGCTCTGAAATGCTAACTTACTTATTCACCTCTGATCTACCATTAATTAAGGTACTCCTTTAGATTTAGTAACCCCTCTTCCCTAGAACAGTGGAAGACTTGATGGGAGCATAGTTGTCCATCATCTAAGTTAAATAGTTCTTTGAGTAGCTAAATTTGTCAGTTAATCTTTCAGATTCAGGTTTACATTCTCATCTATTCTCCAATTGGTTTTATTTGCTGGCCTGCTATAGATACTTAGAAACATAGTCTGTGCTACAGTTATTTTGCTGCTTTGGTTCCAATGTCTCTATCTCTGTCTCCATCCCCAAATTAAGTTTTAGTATTCGATTTATTGAGTTTCCTTTTGTCTTGATCCAATATTCTTTATTTTATCAGCTTCTATATTTGTGTTCAACATCTTCCTGACCTTTTCTTCTTGCTTCCTTCCTTTCTCCCT